TCAGAAGCGTCATCCGATATTTTGGTTCCATCATCCTTGATGATTATGGGATTTGGGAATAAATTTGGTACACTTATTCACCATCAAAGCCAGATTACGTAAATTTCTTGGTGCGAAGGCACGTCTAATTTTGTAGTCCAGAGCGCGTTTCAAATGCTTATCGAGCTGTTCACAAACATGGATATAGTCCGGCGAACTCAGTGGGTTTTGGGAGTTGAAAAAAATTCTAGCCTTCTGCTGAATCAGATTTGCAATGTGGAGAGGGCACTCATTATTCCTACTCCCCGTCATCGTTGCGAGCGGTACGTACTGATCAATGATATTCTGGATGACCCGTAAAATCTGCTATACACATCATCCATATCTGCATAGGAGTAGCTTCCACCTTATTGGATCGCCTGTAATCTGTGCGTGTTTCGGGGGGGAGGCACTCACTGGTATCACAGATCAAGAAGGCAATTACATTGTGATCAGAACAGCGCAGGGGTAGGAGAAAGTTGAGTGCAGAGACACTATCCTGTGTATTTATTGCAAGTGTGCGCATACTCAACTTGAATCCAATTTGTCGAGTAGAAACAACAGCACGGTATACCAAGGCTTTGCGCTTTCCCCTTATTTATTATATTTGTTGTCTTCACGGATGTCGTTACACGAGACCTTCAAAAGCCAATGCCATGGTCACTTCTCTATGCCTACAACGACAGGAGCAACCTCGGCCTGTTAGTTGGCAACGTTCCGACTCGACCCCGGCTGAATGTGAAAGACCAGGTACATGATCACAGAGTCAAATGAGCAAGGCGCTATGAAAATTGACAACAGTGAGCTTCACCGGATATTTGTCTTCGAATATCTGGGACCAGCAATCGCATCTGAGGGCAATCTGGCCTCTGAAGACAGTTCTCTTGAGGGTGCGGCTTTGCCTACATGACACTCGATGATTGGATGCTTTCATGGTCCGCTAGCCGTGGTGCCGGCGTGCCAGCGGAGGCAGTGCTAGAGGGGAGGAGGGAGGCCAACAGTCGGTCAGCCCTTTCGAAGGGCTGAAAACAAAGAAGAACAAGATCAAAAATCAAACAACCAGGGGCTTGTGCAAATGGTTTTTGATCTTGTCTCTCTTTGTTGGGTAACGGAACTTCTCCCCTATCGCGGCATTCTCCCTTGCGGCATGCGGTAAATGTCACTGCAATTACCGTACTCATCTCGCCTCCCGCCGATCGATAGGACGCGATATTTTTCCTTGACTAGCTCGCTTTTTTAATGGATTTTATGGTTTTTCCTTATGTTTCTTTTTAGTTTTCATGTTTATTAGACTTTATTGACTNGGTAACGGAACTTCTCCCCTATCGCGGCATTCTCCCTTGCGGCATGCGGTAAATGTCACTGCAATTACCGTACTCATCTCGCCTCCCGCCGATCGATAGGACGCGATATTTTTCCTTGACTAGCTCGCTTTTTTAATGGATTTTATGGTTTTTCCTTATGTTTCTTTTTAGTTTTCATGTTTATTAGACTTTATTGACTACCTCACAAATTGCGCGCTCCAAACTTCCATCGCAATCCTGCGATAGACGGCGGGTGCGGCGTGTGCGACGCCGTGTTAGGGGAGAAGTTCCCGGACCCCTCTTTGTTTACGGAACTTCGGGGAGGCTGACCGACCGTCTGCCTCCCTTCTCCGCTCTAGCACTGCCTCGGCTGGCACGCCGGCCTGGCGGCCCAACGGCCGGCCGACGGACTATGAAAGCAGCCACTGGCGTTCACTGCGACAACACATACTTCTTGATCAGAGGTCTGCAGAAACGCTATATGACCGGTGCAGACTGCTGGCTTGTAACAAAAGAAATTCAAGCACGCCTTAATGGAGTGGAGGCGAAAATGTTACGATGGTCAGCTTTGGTAGCTTTGGCGTACCATGTTCGCGACGATGCAATAAAGTAGCGTTTCGGGTAGCCCCTATTGCTGATAAAATGCGCGAAGCTCGCTCAAGATGGTACGGCCATGCCCTACGGCAAGGACAAAGACTGCTCATAAGATCATGCTCAGCTTTTATGTACCGGAAAAACGTTCTAAGAGGTGCCAAGAGCAGAGCTTTTTCGATACCTGGCATGAGAACTTCAAATTAATTGTCCTGCATCCCGACCAAGCATTCAGTAGTGAGAGATGGCATCAGTACACCAGAACGCCGACCCTACTTCTAAGAAGGGCAAACGTGGAGAACAAGAAGATTGAATTATTGCGTCACTGACAAGATGTTGTCAGTTACGCAACAATTGCAGCCAGCATAGCTCGCCTCCGAGCAGAGCATTCAGACGGAAATTGCGCTCTCATACGACAACATCGATTTTGTGTGAGTGACCACATACTCGCAGCACTCTCTTAGGACGTGAAACTTTCAAACTCCGTTGGAAAGTTAGAGAAATATGAGTGAGCATAGCTGTAAGCTTAGGTTAGCGATTATAATTTACGGTCAACCGATTGATTGTTGCGTCAATATCTACTACTTGAGTTGGGTACACTGCAAGGAAAAGATGTACGGTACCTGATTGCAAGGCAATTGGCCACCGTTTCAAAAAAAAACCCACAGAGTCAACAAAAACTCTCCAAAAATAACACCTGTGTCACCTGTCATTCCGTTGATTATCGACTTCCTCGAGCGGGAGCGCCTGTATCGACCCCATTCGTCCCTAATGCGAGCCAGAGTGGACCAGTGGTTGGTCCTTGCTCGACGGACACAAAGGCATAGCACTCTATTAATTCAGAATTCTATTAATTCATTTGTGAAGAAGCCTGATCACCACGCTGGCAACCTTCCCGGTGTTCGTTTCAGGTAAAGAGAAAGCCAGCCTGTAGCCGCCCTACAACGGTCATCACGATATCGCACAACATGATTGGCCCACCTAATCTTCGATTTCTTGGCGTAAGCAACGGCATCCTTGATCTTCGTTCGTTGACAGAGCTTGGAATTCCGGATTCCCTTTTGCACTTGCACGTCTAGGGAAATTCCGAGTATCGTCTTTTCTGAAGCAAACTTATTGGTTAGTGATGACGGCATATTCATCCTGCTTTCGTAAAGTCCAGGTCTCCGAGGCGTACGTAAAGGCAGGAAGGACAGCAGTGTCGAAAAGGTTAGGAAAGAGCCCGCAAAAAAGTAAGTTTCATCAGAAAATTCAACTATCGACGGTTCGCTACTGCCAGAGAAAAAACGTCTAAGCCGTTAGCCAACGTAGACCACCTATGTATGGCCGCACAGTAATGAAAACTGGTGAGAATGTACTTGAGCGGCGGCACCCCTTCTCGTAATATTGTACGATAGAGCGCAGAAAAGAGGCGACCGTTCTTATGTTTAGAGAGGTCCCTAGCCAAAGCATACGTTTTACCTAAGCCTTAGGAGAGGTGGATCATAGGGATGCGTAGAAAATACTCACTGCATAAAGCTGGGGTGATGAGAACTAAACATTCGATTGATTCACCCACCCCGAGGCTAGTTTCCTCTTGAGCTGAGGTGTATGGAAACCTACATCTTCTTGGCAATGAAACGTTCCCAAGCACTATCGTTGGCTCGCGAAGCCGGCTAACCCTCCTTCTCTGTGTTCAAGTGCTCAATGTTGTAGAAGAGTTCCCACCAAGAATGTTGTGCTATTTGCACACCAATGGCTGTACTAGGAATTCACCCAGTTCGCGAATGAGAACTCTCAGCATGAAATTAGACCTCACCCTACTCCATCCCGGATCAGATTAGGTGAAAAGATACGGTGTTGCACGTTGTACGTGATTGCGGGCAACTTGTTTTTTTACGTCATACCTTCCCAATCTGTGGAACCTTATTCTTAAGTATCTAGGATTGCTTATTATGTTCGCATTGGCTCAAAACTCAGTTTCATTAGATTAGCATAATCATTTATCAGATTCTCAAGCTTTCTGTAACGTTCCCATGTGGGCAGAATTTTCTTCGTTTTCTTTTTCCAATGTTTTGACTGTTATAACAGCGGTAGAGTTTGGGTTGAAATGTTGATTCGTTGTTTCCCATTGTTCTGTTCAATTTGAGCTTTCTCTCGTATATAAGTAGATATATGCTCGAGCTCCGCTACACTATTTTCTATTACTACTACCCGCCGGACTAGTCTCGCACAAAATGTGGTTGGATCACATAAACAAAACGACAGCCTTGTTTTTGATTGTGAAATATTTAGTAACTATTCATAGAAAATTTTGATCAAGATGCTCTTTGAAGTGCTCTGATGAAGTGGATAACAACGCAGTTCCGGATTTATTTGTTTTACTATTTGCTGCGAGATCCTGGTATTTCCAATCATGATGTCAGGGCGGTCTTATCGAAGCTGTCCTGACGTCATGATTAAAATCTACATTCAGTGGGTGGTGCCAACCTTTTCTTATTTGTGCAGTGCGTTCAAGGGCTGGAACAGTCGAATTCAAACCTTTCTCATTTGTCCCCATTTAGTGAAGTCGTGTTTTAAAATGGTGTAAAGGCTGTGGGATGCCGAAAAGAAATCTTGGGAACTTCCATTGAATATTTGCGTCCGAAAAAGAGTTAATAGCGGCTTAGTATACGTTCTAATCGGAAGAGGAGATCAAGAACCTATTCTTCGCGCTAGCCATTGGGCGAAAAGTGTCGACGTCGATCGTTGAACGTGGTGGATGACTCATGGTGGGATTTAATGGCTTTAAAACACTGAAACATGCCAGTTCTCCCTTCTTCATTTTGTATATCAACTGATTACAGCATTATATATACTGCCTAGCAATTTGCGTTGAATACCGAAATAGGGCAAATATGACTGACGCCATCACTGACTGCGAAGTATGAATGCAGCTTAAAACAAACGATTATCTGAAGCTAATACGGCATTAAATGAAATCAGAAGTAAGGTCCTACTAAGTCACTTTTCTCGAATTCGCGGGCTTAAAACTCGGTTTGAAGCGGTTCGACGTGCCCAGCCTTATATGTATATTTTATTACTATTTTTAGTTTCGCTCCATCAACGATGGGGAAACTCTTATCGAAAATTTTTGGCAAAAAAGAAATGAGAATCTTGATGCTTGGGTTGGATGCAGCGGGTAAAACCAGTAAGCATTTTTTAATCGGTTCTTTAGCAAAGTTTTCGACATTCAAATCACATTTGTCTTTAAACTTTATTCATTCTTTTAGCCATCCTGTACAAATTGAAACTTGGTCAATCTGTGACTACGATACCTACCGTTGGATTTAACGTTGAAACCGTAACGTACAAAAATGTAAAATTTAACGTATGGGTAAGTACCTTTGATGTGTACCTGTTTCACGCTGTTGTTCTATTCACCTCACGCTTTTTTCAGCATTACGAAAGGGTGTTTATGTGTTTGAATAGAAAGATACTTCAGGACGTAGGTGGTCAGGATAAGATCAGGCCGTTGTGGAGGCATTACTACACTGGTACACAAGCTCTTATCTTTGTTTTGGATGCTGCTGACAGAGACAGGTAATTCCACTTCTCCTTTTCCATCTTTCTTTGAGGCCTTTCTGTTTGAATGGTTGTTGTGTTGGTGAAGACTTCATGTATTTCATTCAATTTTTTAATGCCTCGTTATATGTTCCCACTGGCTGCGCGACATTTTGAAAACGAAAAATATGATGTATTTGCTCATATATGACGTCACAGTTGAAAAGATCGTGCGCATTCTTGCGAGTGATGACGTTAATGAAGGTTCTGGAAGAGTCGTGTGCTTTGCGAGAAGGGGATAGCATCTGGAGGAACAGGTTTTGAGAAACGCGAACTATCAAACGCTCTTTTTGTTAGAAGATGGCAGGGCTGTTGTCAACCGATATTTTTGAGGCTGAGAGGGATTAGGCGAGAAAGCACTATGCATGTCGTGCCTATCAACCAGGGTGGGGCGTTTTCACTCAGTATCTGCAGTCTACTCCAAAATGCTCCTCTGTCAGAGGGGCAGTGGAGTTACGTTAACAGTGAATGGAACCACAACCAGGTTCTGAAATGGTTTGAACATCTCGAAGACCTTCACTTCATTTTTTAGCCTGAAATATTAAACGACAAGAGCAAGAGATGAAAAGGCGAAGGGATGTGTGTGGCTAGAAATGCTTAGCGGATAACCATCTGAGTATTCTGAAAGTTTCATGCAAATATGTGCTCAGTTTTTGTTGTAATTAAATCGGAAAGCATGGAAAACACAGGCGAGCAAAAATTCATGTTGACGTTGCAGGATTACCCAGTTTTTCTAAGAGCTTTTTTATGAAATCTTCATACGAGATAATCACGATTAACAGAGTTGCGGCCATGTGGAACGGCGAGCTTTCTCGTATCTGCTCTCGCATTTNTTTGAAGGAAAATTACTTTCTCAGAGAGTGCAAGCTGAGCCACTTCTCGCGCAGGAAGGCCAACATACCTTTCACTAGAGGTCGTGATGAATCCCACGATGAAGTAGAGTCGTATAGACCAAAGTCACATAGCTGCTAAGTGCTATTGTTTTTTCTCCTTTTTTGTGGTCCGTGGTGGTCAGTAAGCCAACAAGCATGAGCTGTGAGGGTTGACGGGCAACAGGTGGCAGGGCGTGACTGGAGTGAGGCGACGGTGTGATTTTGAACTGGCAGGTGTCTTTCTAGAAAATAAGCGTTGGGAGTGGAGGGACAGAGAAACTGTTTGTTTTTCTGCAGTATGTCTTTGCGTGGAGAGCGGTGTCAGTTTTACTAGTTTTGTCATTACAGTAGGCTTTCTCGATGCCGAAGTCAAAATATACTGAATGATTATTATTTGAATCTATGAGGCTAATTCTGTTTTGTCAAGCTCGGCATGTACCATCCATAATCCTTCGTCCAAATTCTTTCCATAACGTGCCCATATTTTCACGGTTATCTGCGAATATCCAATTTGGAAAGCTTGGCTGGCTCGAAAATGGAGCTGGTTCCAGTAGTTAAAGTATAGGTCAGAAGATAGGGTGAGGCTTGGACCACGCACGAGTGAGCCACAAAGCGAGCTTTGCCGAAGTGTGATCTCAAGCCTCTTGTGCTCTTATCTATGGAATTTTAGGGTAAGTAATCTCATTACTGAGCGTTTTCTCTCAACATGATCTTCAGATGATTGTTGACAAGGTCACGTGGCGCGACCCAGGTGGCGGATAGGGACTAAATAGCGAACTATTAGCCACGTTTACTTGCCCAGACGCAGGGGAATTCAGGGGAAGGATTTCCTGTTGCTGCTGTGTTATGTCAATTCATGTCTTCTGTCTCCTCGCAGCTGTATCCATGCTGCGTGTTTGGAGAGTCGGGGGACTGTGGTTGGTATACTGCACATCTCCTAAGCCAAAAGCGTGCATTCAAGTGATCGGAAAGTACTCCAGAGGCGTTTTGGGGCCTACCCCAGTTATATCATTGTCCACTCCGGGATAGCTAGGTTAGCTTAGGTCTACACAGCACCCACTTCAGAGCCTGGCAAGCTGCTCGTTAGTACTCGTACACCAAAGACAGTACTGTTAGTGGGCTTCATTTCCTGAAAATGAGAGAGCGCAGAATATGGTACCCTTGAGAAGGACTGCGTCAAAAAATCCAGAACTCCGTAAAAAGGGAAAAAGCGGATAGAGACGAGAAAAAAGAAAGGTGTTGAAAGTCGAATGCAGGATGGTGTACACCGAGCTAAAATCAAATATTCGCAACTTCGTCGACTCCACCAAAAGACATTCCAGTCTCCGAAAAAAAATCGTCATGAACTAGAAACATCGTAGCAAAGGAGGATAGGCTGAGTAGGTATGGTAGATGGGATGTGCTCAGAGGCAAGCAGAATCTAAATCAAAAGTTCACAGCTGAGTGTAGAAATGTTCTTATTTTTGATAAAAAGAGAATGGGGCTTACTACGGTGAAAGGCCAAGTATTCATGATGGATGGTGTGGGCAAGGGGTGGAGCTGAACCTGAACCAATAATTTATAATAAGGTTCCATAACAGCTAGGAAAAACAGGTAATAGCCTCAGTACAGTAGAACAATGGCTTAGATATCCAAGAGCTCGGAGCAGAATGTGACAGAGGTGAATAGAGTAAATGTGAACTCGGATGACCTCTTCAAAACTTCTGCTTCGCGAATAATAGGCTTGAAAAGGACATTTTCAGAGTTGATGAAGCACGCGTCGAACTTCATCGTATAATTAATGATCGCGAAATGAAGGATGCAATAATACTCGTATTCGCAAATAAGCAAGACCTTGCAGACGGTTAGTTCTCCTTCTCAGTTCTCAGAATTCTATTTCTTTCCTGGTTTGTCGTTACTCAAACTTTGTGCAAACTGTAAACTTTCTAATTTGTGTGTCACTAAATGTCACACATCATAGTTGCGAATATTTGCAGATGATCTTTTTCATCTTCATCAGAGAAAGTTGATTTTTTAATTATCAAGCTGCGGCTAAGCTCCCCAGCTCCTGCGACTGTCAGAATTTACTTTCAATCCGCTCGTCCTTCTCGTTCTTGGCGAATAATGTTCAAAATACAAAAAGCAAAGTGTGGGAGGTGGACTTTTATGTTCCTTTGCGGAGATTATATTATAATACGATTTGCGAGAGCACATTGCCCATGAAATGTGGTTTATGCGTAAATTGGCAACTAGTCTATGCGTAGACCCGCGCTATTCGTTGTGACGTAAAGCCGATTGTTCCTCTAAAGCTTGGTGATCAGAGGAAACTTTTTAGTGGATCGGGCTCCTTATGCCTGAGGTGTGCAACGTATAAAACAGCGTTTCTTGAACTGAGAACTCAGCGTGAGCTGGAAATGCTGGTAGAGGACCCATTGGGAAGACGCTCCTAAGCGTTCATAACACTCCGCCAACTTCTTCTTCTTTGGGTTTGTCCCACTTAGTTGCGGAGTCCGCTTTTCTGGCGTATTGACGCCGGGAGACGGCCAGTTGAATTGGTTTTGTGTAACCGATTCGTCGCCCGCGGCAGTCGTGGACTAGTTGCCTCGTTATCGCAATTCTAGCGTTCTTTATNNNCCACACCTGTTGGTGCCTATTTTTCGGTTGAATGTTTGGTCAGGATGGGGCCCATTACTTTCAAGTCCTCAAGGTGTCAAGAAAGCGCTGTTTTGGTCTTCTTCAAGCCTGTGTCCGGGAAAATCCAGGTTGAGGCTGATCTCACAGGCACTGTTTTTGGCAGCGCACAGGACATGACCGTACTGCGAAGATGAGCCGTACCACCGAAGACTCCGAAGGTCCCTTATTGCATCGTAGCAAGTAAGGTCCAAACGCGTGGCTCCAGTCGTGGCTCTGTCGCATCACATGACGTCAACAAGACTGCAAAACTTCTTGTTCAACTTAGAATGTTGCAAACGATGGGATACCAAAACTTCTCGTTCAACTTAGAATGTTGCAAACGATGGGATACAAGCGTAGGCAGGTCTGTTGCAGTATGGGTCCAAATTTGCCCCAGTAGAACCATTAATTACTATTTATAGATTTTCGCCTTCATGGGGGCCTTTCTACTGTTGTAGCAGGCGCTGCTAATATGGCGATCAGATTGAAGCCCTCCATTCCCGGTTACTTCCTGTATGTTTCTCTACTTGATCGAGTTGAAAGACTAGAACATACACCCCGCTCATAAGCTGATATCGTGGCTCCCCCAGTCACGATTGGGAACAACGAATGGATATCTCTATCCTCGACATGCCCTTTGGGTCGACATCCTACGTAGAGAACTTCTTTTACTTTATTGTGAAAAGCTTAGGTGAATGTCCGCATAAAAAAAATGTAGCGAACCAATTGTAAGATCAACTGTTTGTTAATCCCAAAACTGTATAAAGGGTAATAATGTGAATGAATCGTTGAGCTTTTGTCAGATTACTCTGCTAAAATGAACAATTACATGGGCATTGTTCCCTCTTTGACACAAAGTTCGCATTAGGGACTGAATAATGTATTAGCACAAATTTTGATCAGTTGTTTTCCCATTAAAGACGTACTCGAAACTTTGAATCGGTGTCACATGTACCATCCATCGTCCGTTGATAATTGATTTCCTCGAGCGGGCGCCATTATCGACTCCATATCGCGAGCCAGTAGTCCAGTGGATCGTCCTCGCTCGAAAGAACGGGGCAAAGCATTCTTTTCGTCTAGAGCTTTCGTGAAAAAGTCTGACCATCGGACTAGCGGCCGTTTGTGTTCGTTTGGCATCGCGAAGGATCTATTCAGTAACTGCCCTGTCCAACGGTCATCACTATATCGCATAACATGTCCGGTCCACATGATTTTCAATTTCTCGTCTAATCAACGGCATCACTGGTCTTCGTTCGTTATCGGAGCTTTGAATCACTATGGGAAGTTGATCGTGAATCTCTCGCAACCATCTTCTACCATGTTAAGTCATGAGGAATAGTGAGGCGATGATGTCAACATTTTTGCCAAATTAGTAAGTACTTTTGTTGCGCGGTGCCGTGGGCTATAAACTCCATGTAAACTGTTTCTAACCGTTTGCCATTGTTGGCAAATAGTAATTAGTTTCAATGGTAACGAAAAAATCTCAGCAGCTTGTTCCCAATCTTTGGAAATTAGTAGTATTCTTGTGACTTCAACTACTGTGAATTGAGGGCTGAAGAGGTTGTGTTACATTGATATCGAACTAGACTGAGATCATTGGTTGCGTTGTTTTGTGACGTATTCATGGAGCTACAATATTTCTTTTTTTTTGAATCAAGAAAAGACTTAGGAATTTCTATTTCAGCCATGAAACCCCATGAAATTCAAGACAAATTGGGTCTCACGCGAATTCGAGACAGGAACTGGTACGTACAGCCGACTTGTGCCGCAGCAGGCGATGGGTTACATGAAGGACTTTCTTGGCTTAGCAGTAATTGTAAGCCTTAGGAAAGATGTGCCTATTAATGTGTCAGAGTCAGGAAGAAGTTTAGAACTTATGCGAATTTATTTAAAACTCATCTGCATTGATTACTGCGCACTGTTATCCTCAAAGGGAATTTTGTTAGAACTATGCCACGGCTGTGCCGATTGTATATGTGTATTTAATACAAGACTTCTTATCCATCCACTGAAGTGCTACATGCACTACTTCAGCACCACTATATTTAATGTCTAAAATGGACATGTTCCATGTTCACGTATGTTTATATGCATGCGTCGGGAAGTGAGTTCAGGCTATAGCACTTCAAATCTGAGCTACTCACGGCATGGCCTCATCTGCGTGCTGAGTGCTTTTACTTTTTGTGGTATGTTTCTATTACAGATTATGAAGTGAATATTGGGTAACGTCCCACGTTGTCCTTACCTTTTACAGGGCTGTTTATTAATGTATTTGATGTGGTCAGGTCATTAGTTGTGAGAGGTGTACGTAAACGTTGACGCTGCTAGAACGTGGAAGAGTGTAGCTCATTCCTTTTGACTTTCCTCTCTCGACAGGCTTTGAATCTGACCGAAGTATTGTGAAGCGAGAAAGCTCAACAAATTCTCAAATGAATCTGGCAGATCGTGTCTTAGAAAGCTGCGACATACATTCTACTTGGTAAATCTAAAAAGAGGTAGAGTTGTGCGCAGGAAAAGGAGTGTTTGAGAGAATGCGAAATTTTGAGGAGAAAATCTCGGATCCTAACCAGAGAAGTAGTAGAAGTCAAGAACCGAAAAATAGTGAAAATCTTTCATTTGCATTGTTCATGACTTGTTCAGTCAGATGGCTGATCTGAGTTTTGGGTCCGCATAGAGTTTGTTTATTCTTTCAAACCAGTGAGAATCATTGATGACCGAATGTATCGGGCGTGTATATGCACCGTCCCCATGCACATCGATGGATTAACAAATCAAAGAAAAAAAAGAACGAAAGAGCTCTTGAGGCTATGCGATGTGAACGTTTACTCAAGTGAATTTCACTATAGCGTTTGTAGCGCAAGGCGATGACTCGACTTATGCGACGATCCCATCATCCAAGCTGGAGCTTTCTCACTTCTTCGTGATCGGTTAGTTGGTGCTACTTTGCTCAAAACCGTGGAACCATTGACGTGAATATCATCTTTTCGATACAGATTTCAAAAAAATCCTTCGCGATTGATAATTCTGATGTGTCCTTCGCAAACTATCAAAGCATAGGAGACTTCGTATTTTCACAGGGGATGCGCAGGCAAAACACGAAGTCCAGGTGGTCGCCCATGGTTTCCACCCTTGTTCTTCATGATGACTTCTCATAGATTAAACGAAAAACATGTCATAGAACGTGAAGGTACGAGGTCTAGGAGTAATTCCCATAATGAGTTTGAAAGCCTAAGTGCTAAGNCGTTGTCCCTCTCACTGGTGGTGCAACTTGCTTTGTAACAAACATCGTAATGTGTACGTGGAAGTTACCCAGAATTCATTTCTGTGTTGAAACCCTCTATAGTTCAACTAGGATCTTTCTGGTGTCTCTGGAAACGCACTGCCAACCAAACTCATGGCAGCAATCATAATGAATCGTGAGCATGAGTGCTGTGTGGGTGGCGTCTGTAGATGTTGTCGTGCGTGTAATCTCGCTTTCCCTTTTTTCGAATTTAGCAATACTTGGATGCCGTCGGTATTGAAGCATGTAGAGCATGATAAGCCGTCGAAGCGTACTATTTCCACCTCGAATGCGTTCTGTCAGCAGGGCCGATGGTTGGCAATGTTAGATCGAGGCCAGTGAGGCTATTTCGAAACACTTTTGATATCGGCAGATCAACTGCATCGTTTCGGAAAATTCTTACTGGTCTCGATCAAATGAGACCGAATGTTGGCTGGGAGAGAGGACGCAAACGGGGAGGAAACCTGCCATTTCGCGGCTATCATTCCTGCAGCTACATTTCTGTGCTTATGTGCTTCGAATGTCATGTCTTAGTCTCCAAGATTTGATACATTATTTATTTCTCTCTCTTCATAGTGCTCTATGATGTAATTCATCTGTGATAACATATCTGTCTTTAATAATGGGTTCGTAATTCCCCTTCGAATTTGTGTTGTGCGGCTACCACAACACATTTAGTTGGGGTGCCCTTATTCTTCGTAAATTGTTGTAGCAGCAAAGCTTCGATTGTACTAGATTTTTAACACTACTAGTTCTACGATGGCTAGCTTTTTATTTGTTGTTTGTTGTAATTTCTGTGCGATCTGAAACAGTTACAGGATATAAATATATCGCATATCTTAACCTTCCATTTGAATGTTCAACTCAATTTTCTACTTAGGTGAGTGATGTTCCTATTTGCAAAGCATAACGCCATTGGCAGGGCCCTAGAGTCATGCAGCAACTTTACGACTGTGGAAATATCGCTAATAATGTGGATCTAGACAAAGGTAGGTTCCTTTCACGAATGGGATTTGATTTCAATGCTAGAGAAGAGTATGGGACAGGGCATGAACTGGCGCGTTTCGCTGTGATGTATGCGAGAGTTTCGACAAGAAAGCACAAGAAATGGGAAGGAGACGGACTTTTAATATGCTTCGCAAATAGTGCTGTTCTTAAAACAGATGATGATAAGGACGTTATTTGTAGGTGAGTAGTTGTCTTAAAGAACAACTTTTCGCTTTTTTAAAAAGTACTTCAGTAAAAGAAACGTGAACTGCAAAGATACTATCAGAGTCGGATGTGCCTACGAAACATATTTTCCTAGCATCATATAGATCCGGCTTGCCCAAGCTTATTCTTTAGGTCTCAAACTTAGCATGATGTTCGGCAAATTTTCGGGAATTCCTATTTTCTAGGCAATCTTTCAACATGTTGGTCACAAAGTTTCAAGCTTTCACAAATCTTTTGAGGCCCAGGCAAAGAAGAGTTGAAATGGTACGGCTCGGTGATCCCATTTTCCTATTTCAGAACCTTCTATCAGCCACCAGTTGGGCCGTTGGGCTTGCGCGCTAAAGCGTATTCGGCAGCAATAAACATTTTCGAACAGGGTTACGAGTCCTCGTCTTCCGGGGTAGCTCGTGAAGATCATACAGCCTTTTCCGGTAGCCTCTATCATTCCTTGTGGATTCTGGAACGTTTTTGTTAAGCGATGAGTTTTCGATCTTACGAGGGAAGGATACTTGGGCGCAGTGGCCCTTCAAGATTAGATGTATAACCCCGTGAATAACGGAACTTTTCCCCGTATTCCCACGGCCTGCGGCAGTGGTTCCGCGGCGAGTCTCTACATCCTTCCATTGGGAATTCGAGTCTTGCCTTCATAGCGCGCGATCGCGTGCGGCGAGCGCGACACACCGTTCGGGGAGAAGATGCCAGACCCATACCCCCGTAGGTGGCTGTTCTCAAATCTGTGTTCCAAATCTGCTGACGATTCTGGGAACAAAGTTACGCGTCCAATGGCTCCCTGTGTTATACCACTGTACCCCGAACGGATTACCGTAGCTGGTAGGACGGTGGACTAGTAGGTGTGACATCAATGTTCGATTCCTTGATGCATGTGCTCGTTTCTTTCCTATGAAATGCGTCCTAAACGCTTGCAGAACATTTTTGGGCTCAACGTCGGGCATCTACAGAGCTCCCTCGCAATATAGGATTCCGGGGAATAGTTATCCAATAAAAACTTTTACCACTACTGACCAAATACACATATATGAGTGCTACATAGCGAAAAGCACCAGGGAGCATCCTCCGCCACCCGCATGCTGCTGCGGGCGGTTTTGGTTATGTGCCTTCTACTTTTTTTGGCATTGGAGCGCAGCACAGTTTCCGCGCCATTTCCAATAATGCACCACTAGCTGCCCCTCCATCCGACGCGTGTTCTTGCCCAAAGCCCCTTTTCCATGCGTCGCATATGAGGCGGGTGAAAATTTGGGCATTCAAGTAAGTCAGCCGTGAAATAAAATTTATGTGCACAGAAATCCTGCAGAATGCAGAGCATGCTCTTTAATGCCTTCGCTCTGTACCTTCACTCATACACATGAACGCCTCTCTACCCCGAACAGTTAAAGGCACAGTTCACGATAATCTTGGGTAATCCGATTATGATGAAAAATGGAAGACAAGATCGAAAATAGTGCGAGGAAGGTGGAGAAACTGCATGGATAGGTGTT